ATGAGTCACAACACATTTTAACTAAATACTTGGTCAGAATGGAAAGTTAATGAAGATTTTAAGGTTACTCATCACATTAAAGATTTTAAATACAATTTTAAAAGCATTCCTTCAATCCTACACTACCTACTTAATCACCACAAGGGAAAGGTAAAAAATATGCCCATAAAGCATTAAAAAAACACCATAAAACATCTTTTAAAACAAGTAAATCAACTATAAAATTTTGTTTACAGAAATACTAATACAAAAGTGCACAAAACTTAGCTTTTAAACTCCTTACAAAGCTTTGAGAATGCTCCTTCAAAGATTTCCTTCTCCCTTGTTGCTAATCTGAATACTCTCCTTACAATTCAACTCAAATTCCTCACCAATCACTCAAGAAATCCTATTCTATATTCTCATACAACAAACCCTACTTCTCCTTCCTCAAAAGACTGACCAAAGACCTCTTCTTCATCAATGAGCTCCTTCTTCCTATTATATATTCTCATACAACAAACCCTACTTCTCCTTCCTCAAAAGACTGACCAAAGACCTCTTCTTCATCAATGAGCTCCTTCATCGGAGTGAATAACCCCCCACATCGTGTAGAAAATTGACTGAAAACTATCAATGCAGATTTTGGCTCCTAGGCGTTAGGCTTTTTGTCTATTAGTTTTGGTAAGGGTGCCTAGGCACCCAAAAATCTTGCGCCAGCAGTTAGCCATCATCAACCACCGCTACCCACTGACACCAACCACTAGTCATCGATAACCCGTGTTTACAGACACATATTTTGAATATGAACAACATGCTTAACACCTTTATTGAAGACCCAATAATAACCATCGACCTCTGTAGTCATCGACCACCATTAACCACCACCAACCATCACTATTCATCTGCCGACCATCAACAACTGATGAGCCCTATTTGTAAATATCGTAGTTTGGATATGACTGTTGTACCTAATATTTGTATTTAAGACCCAAAGAATAACCACTGACCTCTGTAATCGCCAACCATGATTAACCATCACCAGTAGTTGATACACCAAAAATATATGCATTTTTAGACCCATATTTTATACTCATTTTTGGTGATATTGCACTTTAATAGAAGGTATTTTCTATGTTTTGTGTTGCAGGTTTTTAAATTTTAGGACTTGGAGCACAAACGAAGCAAAAATGATGAAATTTGGAGTAAAAAATAGAATTATTGAAAAAAATTTCAGCATCGACAGAGAAGGCGGATTTAATTAGATGGCCTCTGACGCCAACAGCGCCAGTGTCAGTGCAGACCCTGTTTCTAGAAGATTCGATGAATTTAGACGCTTTTTGAAGAAAACCGACTTTAGGCTCTATTTAGAGCAAAAATTGATCAGAAAAGACTATTTTCGCTCTCCTCCGCTCGCTCTTGGTCTTTATTCGCATCTCTTCTCCCCCCTTCATGCCACTTTGCATCCTTTCATGCTATTCCACACCATTATTCATTTATTTTCTATATAGTTTTGAGTTTTTATGGTGATTTTAAGTGTGAATTATTCTCTAAGAGTGTTGGAGAGGAAGAGAAGTGAGAGATTCTTCTTCCTACATTTCCTAAGAGAGGCTACAAGGGATTTGCTTTGAGAAAGAGTTTAAGATAAGTGTTCTTTGTTTATTATTGTTGTATGAACTTTCTTTTATATATAAAATTTATTTTTTGTTGTATTTTTCTCATGAATTCTGAGTAGTTTCCTTTATTTTTTTCCTTACTTTGAGATATGGTGAAATGAAGAGATAATTTAGATGTGCCAATGTTAAATATAAAATAAATTGTGATGGTTTTTCAACTCCGCTCTTAATTTACTTTTTGATCTGAACAATTAAATTGTTAAAATATGTTGTCAAATATATGATCAGGGAAATGGAGTATGAGTTCTACAACAGAGTGAGAATCACATTTAAGTCCATAAAAGAGTATTTCGTTCATGGAATTAAGTGCAAATAAATAGGAAAATATACTTTGTTGGGTGTAGAATTGGAGATATTTATGGTGACAAACTAAAACCCTCAATTTAATTTTAGTTTTTAAGAACTAAAGCGAGAGTTAGCTTTCAGGGGAAGGGAAGTAGGAGCTCTGGAGTGGGAGTCGGTATCCTTCTAGCTTAGCCACAGATTTATGAACTAAACCTAAGATTAGCCAATGATTTTTTATAACACTGAATCAGGGTAGAAAATTAAAATTGCTCATATTTGGCACAATACAAATTTAAACCATTTATCTCATCTCATTTCACCAAAAAGCTCATTGTAGTGGGAAA